ACACACAGACACACACACACATATACACAGGATTTATATAAAAAAAACAAATAATAAATATATATATACTGTATATATATATATATTAAATCAGGATAAATAATTCCCAGTCCGTTAGGAGTTTCGGAATTTGGTAAAGGGACTGCCTGCTTGGATTCTCTGTTTGTCTTATTAAAACTTTTGGACTGTGCCCTTTGATAGGGGATGAGACACTGTGATGAGTTATTCAGTTCTGTATGTATATTGTATGTATATTGCAGACTTAGCTATTGTGTTCTGTAAACAATGGGGGGGTTTTGACAGAGGGTCAAAGAGATAGGGGGGAATACAGAAAATTATGTATAATATTTAATATTTTCTGGACTAAGCTCAGACCATAATGAATGAGGAAAACAAATATATACAACCCAGTATACATTCCTTAAAGGGAACTTGTCATGAGAAATGTAAAAAGTCTGCCCATTGTGGTAGTTCTCTGGATGTCGTCCCTGTCCTGTCTTCACTTGCTGAATTCTTGTTCCAGTACAGTGACTTAAAGTATTAAAACTAGAGATAGGCAGGCAACTAACATTTTCAAGAGGAAGGCAGCAATGGCATCATATGCATTTCTCTCATGACAGGTTTCCTTTATGATATTCATTCTTTCTAATATGAATAAATAATTATAAATGATACATTTCCAGGTGCTTTTGATCATTACAAAGAAGCATGAAATGTTTCTTATTGAGGCTCAACTAAGTTTACAAAAGATTAGGCATTGTGTGGACCCCTCATCAGATAACATATGAAATACAGTATATCACACTCAGCTACAGTGGGAGTGATGGCTGCATTAGTTTTTTTTAAGCTTTTTCTTTTTTATTTGCACCTGGTGATACTGCCAATGACACACTTCCTGTCCTAGGGTGACAACACTCATTCACCATGATGTTGACATTGTTAGTGGATCCTCCTCTTTGAAGAGTACATAAAGTTATCAGAAAGCCAATAGTATGCATCCTGTCTGCAGTTTAAGCAACAATTGTCATAAATAGTGTGACAGAAACGTGTGATAAATGTGTTAAGTGACAGGCTGAGAAATGGTTTTGGCAATGGAAGGGTGTCCGAGTCTCCAGAACAGGTAGCTTAGGAGAGGATTCCAATTAAAGCCATGTGGGTTAGCTGCATATAGGAAAGAAACTGCAATTAGTCAGGGTTCTTGTCAGGAACCAGTACTGTTAGGGCAGAGATTGAAGCAGACACCCTGTAGGTGGGTGTCCAGGTCAAGGACTATAGTACCCAGACGTGGTAAAGCCCCTGCAGTATCAGCCTCTGCTGATGAAGTGTCACAAGATGAAGTAGAGGAGTTCATGAGGGGGGCACACAGAAGACATGTGAGTCTAGGTCTCCTGGTCTAAGCAGACAAGTCCCATTCCAGTTGCCTGTGGAACCTGAGAGGACTGAGAAACTGTCATCAGAGCCAGGGGGCTGAATGGGATTTTGCTGTTGTATGAAGTTGGAACAAGCCAGTGAAAATGCTGTGTGTTATTTTACACCACCTGATGAATAAACTAAGGTAGAAATCCCTAAAACACACTCTGGTGCGTGAATTGACTTGGTATGATATGATTATTATTGTGTGACACGGATTATTACAATAGTAGCAAGAATAGATCTTGTCAACCAATACTATGTGATTTATCCCTCTACACTGTATTTTACCCCCCTTTGACATTTGTGTTTTGTATGTTGCTGATTTAAAAGGATTATTTTTTTTATTACTCACCACCAAATTGTTATATCACCTGTGACCCGATAATTTTATTTATCCATTTCCGATGTGGAATCCTTTTATACTGAATTTGTTCCCATCTAATTAGTATCCTGGTGCTAATTATGAGGTTTGATCTAATCTAAATTTCCATAGTGTCTGCAAATGATAGCCTGGCACAATTGCTGACATTTAAATGTATGTCTTCCCCCTGAGATACTTATCTTTTCTTTAGAGGGTTACAAAAAGCACAGTGTATATTGCTATGTGATCAGAAATATATACTGTAAGTGTGCATTGTCTCTCAATGTCAGAACAAGTAACAGAATGTGTTTATGTGTAATGATAGAGGCTTCATAAATTCACAGAAATATAATTTCTACTTAAAACTGATATTTCAGTTTTTCTCTTCTGAGCTGATACCAAATGAAACGCCCGCTAATTGTTTATATCTTCTGAGTCTCCATCAGCAGGAAATTTATAGCTGAGTTTCTTGCTCCGTTGCCACCGAAACTTGTTCACGAGAGTTTTCCTCTCAAGGGGGGACTCTCTGAATTTTCTTACAATACACACATTCATGAAACCTTTCACCTTGATTCTTATCAGTGATTTGACACACCAAATTCTACCAAAAATAACAAAGTGGTTACTGATTGCTTAGTTGTTCAGTTGACTAAATGAAAACAGGCATGAGAAAGCTCCTGCAGATGTGAGATTATCTTTGAGTAAACAAGATAATGTAGGGAAGAACTAGTTTTAGTAGTCTCAGTAGTCTTAGAAAACCATTGGATGTATTATCTATAAAGTATCAGTAAACATTTTTTTTAATAAAACGAATATCTTCATATGGAATGGCAACTGCAGTGATATATACTATATTTTAACCTCAGGGGGAAGAGGAAAATATTGTGCAGGGTCCTAGGGTGACAACAGTATTGATTGCAAGTTACAGTATAGTTTCATAGACGGGTGCAGTCATTTGCATTACTGAATAAACCCAATTGTGGAGATGTGGTAATTCTGCTTCATGACAATATACGACAATATACAAAGATGATACACCTGCCTGTAAAGTTTGCTAAAATAACATCATGGTCAGACAAGCAGGCACAATCTGATCAACAGTAGTTCACATTGTAGTGGGAAGATGTTATGCATACACACACTGATGCTGGTTTATCGTGGAACAAAAACTTGTAGAATTCCAAAATACCCCAAGAATATCCATTTGCTTTGAAATTCCCAGTGACCTGTGGACCTTGTGTGTCCCATGTTGCTTCACACTGTTGTCCTACCCCAACCAGCATTGCCACACTGTACCTTGCTTGCTGCTGCTTCAAGTGGCATTGGGGAGATGAGTCCAAACTGGCGAGATGAAAGGCTATCTACCAACCAGTAACCTTAAGTTCCTGAGTTTACACGCAATCAGGAAGCAGAACAAAGACTCTACTTTGCAACAGCATGCATGAAGCTCAAGAACGCTGCTGGCTGCATCACTCATTTATTGCTGTGTCAGCTGGTCCTGCTTTCTTTAGGAGCTCTTCTTTGCGTAAGGGTTACTTATCTCAGGGCATTCATGTTCAGCAGAAATTGTGTTTCTAAGGGGCCCATCAGTGGCAGGTAGCCTAAAATGCACCCTAACTACTAATGCTTAACACTGACATTTAAAAGTGGGCAATCTATTATGGACCCTGTAGGACCTCTATTTATACAGCTAACACTGGTGGCCACTGTAAACACTGTTAAACACGTAAAATTGTAACCAGCCAGTTGGAATGGGTACTCCACAGTCCACTGGTGCAGGCTACTCAGAAATACTGCTTCCTCCTCATAAGTTGCTGCTGCTAAGTAGTGTAGAGGATATTTTTCTTTGGTACACACTCAACCAAAATGAGACTGGCTCAGCTAGGTGGATCAATATGCCCCTCTGTCTCCAGCATTATTGGCTGAAATGACTGTAGCCACACCCTTCATGGAAGGATTTCTGCTGAGTGGGGTTTGTCTGAGGGTGCATCTATCAAGATGGGCTGGTGTGGGTGCACTAGAAGTGGAAAGATGTAAGTTGCAGCGCTCACCGAGGGGGGAGGACAAGAGTCTCTGTGGTTAGGTGTGCAGCTTCTAGTTTGTACAGACCGGGGTGTCCAACATGTGTATATAAAGAAACAAAAGAAAGAGAAAGCGCCACAATCAAATGTGAACTGGTGGGTATGATCGCCAGTGAGCCGGAAGGTAAATGGGCTTGGGATGATGACTTTCGCCTGATGTTATCACTGGTTGTTAATGTTGCCTTCCGGGTGGTATTGGTGTAATCCGAAATGAGGCGGAAGAGAAAGTGATACAAATGAACCTTGAGCAATGTGTGAGAAATAGTGTGACAATATAGAGACTCACCAAGGAGTTATGTATGAAGTGATGTCATCGACGGGGGAGGTGTTGAGCTGGTTCCGATGTTGAGGAAGATGTTGGTGAAACCCTTAGGAACATTCAAGTGGGATTGAGGTCTGGAAGTCGTAGGTTTGGATTGCCAGTGTTCGGTAGATGGTGTCCGTTGCACTTGAGGGGGTGCAGGTGAGTGTTGGTACTAATGGTGTGTCTGTATGCAGTCTGTGTGTGGGTGCACATTTATTGATGTAAGTTTATCTAAAGCGTATAAAGCGCTGCACAAACTGTTGGCGCTATATAAATCCTGTATAATAATAATAATATCTAGGGGTGCATCTGTTGAGGGGGATTTGACTGGTGACACATGTACGGCTAGATCCTGCAACTCAATAGTGAATAACCCCCTTAGTGTATGCAGAGCATGCTGTGCTGTCTATTACAAAAGCCCAGTAATAGCTCTGCACTGATCCTGCAGACTGAAAATCTAGAAGACACAGACTCTACTTGGAGAGAAGAAAGTGTCCATATTTAGGCATACTATCATTGCACAATGAAATTAAGATATCAGACACGGCATATGCTGGAGCTATGGGGCATACTACATTCTTGCTTGTGCATTACAATATTGACAAAAGAGTCATCTTAATATGTCAGTTTAAATATGGCACAAAAACTTGCAGTTAACCATTAAAATTGTTAATTTGTTAATGCAAACCACATTTATTATTTCAAAATGCATTTAAATAACCTTCTTAAAACGGAACAACAGCAGTTGTAGTGCAGATAGTCCCCACATTTGTCTGTTGTGAAGACATAATGCAGAAGTATGATGGCTCTCAGGACTTGGCTCCAGTGCATGCTGCCATGTTCAACCTTCTGACGATTGTGATGTCTTCTGATTATTAACATCAATACAAGAGACAGTTGCATTTTTAGACTCTTCTTCATGAATACTTAGCAAACAGCGGAATATTCTGAGAGCAGCATATTTCAGTTTGGGGCTACCAAAAATGAGTACAACAGATTGTGCTGGTGCATATGTGTATATTACCATCAAACAGACACAAAATCCTGGACTAGTTGGAGGGAAAACTTCTGTAAACATAAGTAATTCTGATATGTAAAATGAGATGTAAATAAACAGTAAACAGCTTATTGTTCTGGCTGCTCTAATACGTCCTTCTGCCCGAGCACTCATATCTCCTTTAGCAGTCTTGTCCGACCTGTTATTTATCAGAGACCTAATGATCAGTCCATCGGCAATTCCGGCAAGGACTAATGGTAGAGAACAGCTAACCAGGCTACTGATGATCAGGTAAGCCATATCAAGTTCTGGAAAAGTGGCCTCCACAGTCAGATTCCCAGTCATGTTCAAGTCTTGCTTATTGATGTTGGTGTACCAGATTACTGGTAGGCATGTGGCTATTGATACCATCACAGAGACCATTATCAACTGCGGAATATGTTTGGAGACTGCATCCTTTAGTCGGATGAGAAATGGATGAGTGAATATGACAATCTGGAAATAGTAGTTGATGGACAGGCATGCTGTAAACCAGAAGCTAATGTAGATAGGAAGGTTAATAGTGACTGAGAATAGAATATACACCCTTTCAGAGTAGTAAAGATCATTCTCGAGGAAGCTTAGGAAGTCATTTGCGAGCATTATGAACTGAAAAAACACATTTGATATGCCCATTGTTACTACGATGGTGTCTGAGGGACTGAGAAGCTTACCCTTCACTTTGTCTATGACATTTACTGCAATGATGATTGAATTGGATATTGACCCCATCAATGTGCTGACACTCAATACAGTCATAGAAACCAAAACAAATATAGGAAGCATCAAAAATGACCTGAAGAACAGCAACCTACTAATATACGGTAGTTCTGTATAGGAAAGAAAAAACAAAAGAAGAGTAAGCAATTACCACAGTGATGGTTTATATATAAACAGTATAGACAGTTTGGGTTAAAGTGTAAGTATGAGCAAAAATATAATATACTGTATATGACCTAGTGTCCTAGTCTGTTAATAGCATTAACACAGCAGTTGTTGTCCTTCATAGTGATCTTGTATCATGCTTTTATTTCCCATTGCTGCTGCCAAGTGATCACTTCATTTCCCACTTCCTTTTACAGGGTGCAGGGCAGCCTTCAGAAATTTCGGGGCCCCTTACACGGCTTTAGGCCGGGACAAAGCAGAGGCCCCGCAGAATAAAACGATACTAGTTGCAATTATTTATGTCGCATGGTATTTGCGCAAATGTTTATCAAACCAGTATTTTTAGGATAAAATACACTAAAATGAAATTTAGAGCACAGAATCAGAACATAATGGCTAATTTTTTGGTACAATATAAAAGACGGGGTCACGCCGGGCAAATAGATACAAAACATGTCAAGCATCCATGAAACCGCATAAAGCTACAATACCCCAAATGTTCCATAAGCGACGCTTTAAATGCTTTTACGGCTCATCAGTTTAGTGCTATCAGTGATTGATGGGCCTAGAATTATTGCTCTCATTCCGACGCTCGCGACGATGCATAACATGTGTGGCGTAATTTTTTGTTTTTGCATGTAGGCGCATCCGAAGCGTGTTTGTGTTGTATGTGCGTGCACGTGGGGAAAGGGGAAACTTAAAAAAAAAATGGTTGCATTTAAAATGTATTTTTTATGGTACTTTCATTTTTACCTTTTTTTTTACACTCAGCTTTATTGCCATCACATAGCGGGCTAAAAAGCCCCTTATGTAATAGCACATATAATGTGACAGGTCCTCTTCATGGAGACGTCAGGGGTTTTTCCTACCCCTAATGTCACCTAGGGACCCCAAAGAAGCTGATGAAGCAGAGATCTGCTTCACCAGCTTCTTCTTCTGGCTCTAAGGGGTTGTCCACACCACATGCAGTGCGCCCCGGCCCGATTCAGGCAGAAACGCACTGCATCACATTGCAGCCGTACAATTTTTGCCGGGTAGGAGGGGGGAGTGGCAGGCCATTGAAGTGAATGGCGCCATAGCCATGCCCTCCGGCCACAATGCGATCGCCCACACGGGATCGCAGGGCACATTGTGCCTGCGTCCCGATGCGGTCAAAATAGTGCTTGCAGCATTTTGACCGCACCGGAACGCACTGCAGGTAGAATGTGCCCTGCAATCCTGTGCGGGTGATCACATTGCGGCCGGAGGGCGTGGCTACGTTGCCATTCACTTCAATGGCCCACCACGCCCCCTCCTGCCGGGTTCACTTCCGGGTTCAGTGATCGGAGGAGAGATCCGCAGCTAGAAGCCACTGATCTCTCCTCCGATCTGTCAGGGGAGAACCTCCACGCGCGGCCTGGACTCACACGAGGGACAGATGAGCCCAGGAAACTGGTGGTGGCACCGGCGGCCGTGGAGGAGGGAGGCACAGCTCCTCACCGTACAGTGCCTGTACAGACGCCAGATTGATGGTATTTAAACAGCAATCGTCAGCTGTTTAACACGGTACAAGAACATGGCTTCAGGAGCAGCCGTGTTCTTGGTATAACCACTTCCAGCGGATGACGCACAATTACGTGAACCCGCGGGAAGTGGTTAAAAAAACAAACAAAAAAAAACACACGTGTAATGAAACACACACATATCACACACACTCATTAAAAAACACACACATGGCTTCATTAAAAAAAA